TGCAGTGAGCCGAGATTGCACTACTGCACTTCAGCCTGGACGACAGAGCAAGACGCTGTCCCAAAAAAAAAAAAAAAAAAGAATTCCTCTTCATATGCTGAACGTTCTTCCTCCAAGCATACTTAGAAATTGTTCTTTTCAAAAGAAGTCATCCTTGGAGTAAACAACCTACAAATGAGAGAAAATATTTGCAAACTGCACATCCAACCAAGGTCTAATATCCAGAATGTATAAGGAACGTAAACAACTGAACAAGCAAATAGCCACATTGAAAAGTGGGCAAATGACATGAATAGACACTTCCCAGAAGAAGACATACAAGCAGCCAACTTGTATGGTATGAAAAAATGCTCCGTATCACTAATCGTCAGAGAAATGCAAATCAAAACCACAATTATATACTATCTTACACCAGTCAGAATGCTATTATTGAAAAGTCAAAAAACAACAGATGCTGTTGAGGCTGTGGAAAAAGGGGAACACTTACACATTGTTGATGGGAGTATAAATTAGTTCGGCCACTTTGGAAAGCAGTTTGGAGATTTCTCAAAGAACTTAAAACAGAACTACCATTTGACCCTGCAATCCTATTGCTGAGTATATATCCAAAAGAATACAAATAATTCTACCAGAAAGATACAGGTACTTCTCTGTTTTTCACAGCACTATTCACAATAGCAAAGATGTGGAATCAACCTAGGTGCCCATCAACAGTGGAGTGGATAAAAAATGTGTTCACATACACCATCAAATACTACACAGCCAAAAAAAGAATGAAATCATGTCCTTTGCAGCAACATGGATGGAGCTGGAGTAGATTATGCTAAGCAGGAACAGAAAACCAAATACCACATGTTCTCGCTTTATAAGTGGGAAGTAGACCTCGAGTTCTTATGGACATGAAGATGACAGCAATAGAAACTAGGGACTACTAGAGTGGGGAGAGAGCGAGAACGGTAAGGGCTGAAAAACTGACTCATGGGTACTGTGCTCATTACCTGGGTAACAGGATCACTTGTACCCCAACCTCAGCATCACACTATAATTGCAGATAACAAACTTGCACATGTACCCCCGAGTTTAAAATAAAAGAGACCAGGTACCATGGCTCACACCTGAAATCCCAACACTTTGGGAGGCTGAGGCTGGCAGATTGCTTGAGCCCAAGAGTTTGAGACCAACGTGGTGAAACCCTGTCTCTACAAAAAAAATATAAAAAATTAGCCGGGTATAGTAGCATGCACCTCAGGAGGTTAAGGTGAAAAGATCGTTTGAGCCTGGGACGGGGAGGTTGCAGTGAGCCAAGGTCTCACCACTGCACTCCAGCCTGGGCAACAGAGCAAGAGTGTATCTGTATCTGAAAAATAAATAAGGTCAGGCATGGTGGCTCACACCTGTAATCCCAGCACTTTGGAAGGCCAATGGGGGTGGATCACCTGAGGTCAGGAGGTCAAGACCAGTCTGACCAACATGGTGAAACCCCCGTCTCTACTAAAAATACCAAAAAAATTAGCCAGGCATGGTGGCGGCACCTGAAATCTCAGCTGCTCAGGAGGCTGAGGCAGGAGAACTCACAAGAGCGAAACTCTGTCTCACAAAAATGTAAATACATAAGTAAAAGAAAAATTTTAAAAATGTTCTTTTGATTCCAGGGTATTTTCAGACATTTTGAAGCCCATTTATGGACCTTAGGATAAGAACCTCTTAGCTAGGCTATATTATATTTTCCTTGTATTTATTTTGTTAAGTGAACTATAATGTGTCATTAATGTTTTTAATTTTTGTGGGTACATAGTAGTGTATATA